ACAAAGCCACAACCCAATCAGAGATTCAGTTCTTGGAGGAAGTTGGTTGGGTTGTGCCGCAGGTGTAGGTCACGCCTTCATGTACAACTTTGGATGCCTCGCTTTAGTGATGGTTGATGTCCTACATCGGGCCAGCAAACAGGTGTTTGAGAAGTCGGTTATGAAGGTTTTTTGTTTATCTCCAGGTTCATAGGCTTCTCTGTGGCCAACTGGTGTGTGGTGTTGTGTAGACCTTAGAAACACAATTAAGGACAGCGACGGGCAAGTGAATGATCGCGGTCCATGGAGGTATTCGACAGACAGTGGTCGACCCTCGCCATCGTTAACTGCTATCCATGTGGTCTATTTATGTTCGGTCCTGGTTCCTTGATGGGAATTAAGTGATATGTGAATTTCCACTGTTCCAGTAATTGGTTGATGGTCAGCAGCAGTAGCACTAAGTGGGCGTTCATATCACCAGGAACACATTGACACTTCAGCCTATAGCCCGTAGTAATGCAGCCCTTAAAGTGCAATAGAATCCATCTTTAGCAGTTTCACAGCTTCGAGACGTAAGCAAATGGAATAAACGAAGAACAACGAACCTCGTGTTCTCAAAATTTACTTATAGAGTTAACCAAACGAACCTGCGACTGCCAACGGGTGACCTTGTAAGTGAGGCTTTACGGTGAAAGCCTCAAGGTGCCTCAAACAAGCCTTCTTCGATTTCGGCAACCTGCTTGTATCATTTGCCATTGTAGCTCTTCTTTCACCGCCATCTGCCCGAACCCCACCCCACCCATCGAATGATGCACTGGGACCAACCCCTCTGCTAGCCATGGTTCCGTGTCTAAACTATCAACAAATATAATCACTTAATAATCTCGAAAATTCTGATGCGTCTGACGGTATCAATTAAATGCCGGATAATCAAGAGTTTGAAGGGTGCCAGAACGGTGGTGGATCACGAAGGTCCAGGAGATTGAGAAGACTTTCACTGCAGGCAACAGCTATGCTCTATTTCCACTGATTCGATCAACCGGTCAGAAAACAGGTGTCTGAAAACGTGCGAAAAAGGCGGTACAGCAATTCACCCCCTCAATCGTCGTCTTGAGCTTTTCGCTGAACACTTCAAAAGATGTTTAAGCTAGTCTCTTTCAACACAATCGCTGGAAAAACCCAGTGGGCCTGGATGATACATCAACACTAGCCCACCATCAAAGAAGGTGGTGAGGTCCCGGTGAACAGTTGACATCCATATTGCAAAAGATCTGGTTCGAAAACGACGAGCCGAATGAAGCTCGTCGACCGTAATCCAAGTTTTCAAAAAGGACGCAAGAAAGTCATGTGAAAACCATCGTGGTACCAGTCTGGTATACGTCGCATCCAAGGTGCTCTCTGGCCATCTTTTCGCGTACGTTGATCGACTATAGGGAGACACGTTCGTAAAGATCAAGCTGGGTTTTTGCCCTGGCCGAGAATGCATCGACCATATCTTTACCTGAACGGCGCCACTGCTTAAAACACCCCACACGTTGGTTTTTTCTTGCTCTGAAATATGCTTTTGACTCCGTCCACCGTTAGAAACCTTGACGGTGTCTGGAGATCAGACGTGTCCTTTCGAAATCTATATTCATTATGAAGGCACTTATGCAAACTCCTATGAGCGCGTACGAGTTCACCACATCCAGTGGTGTAAGACAGGACTGCCCTCTTTCACCTTTCCTCTTGAAATTTCTTATTGATGTCAGACATTACAAACAAGTTTGGACCCGTTTTGCTGTTTCACTTTTACACCGAATCACAAACCCTCTATCCGCGTGTTTTCCCTATTTCTCCCTTCTAGGTGGTCGTGTTGGATCTCCGAAAGTAGTTGCTTGCTCACACCGGTTCCTTCGCGCATTGATTAACCAACGTGACCGTCATTCTGCGAGGTCTGCTCTCTTCCGTATTATCGAGACCGAACTCACCATAAACTTCGTCCTCGTAGGAGAGGGCTTGGATTCACTAGATCATGATAATTACTCCTCAACCCTGGCTCTTTCATTCGGTATCCAATAAAGCCGTGCAGCGTGAAAGTCTCTTGTATAATCTAGTGATATGTAAATCGCCCTTATAAGATCGTATTCACAAGCAGACCCCGTTTCCTTGTATCTATACGGAATCTGTTCACAGGACTGTTTTCGTTGTGACAAATTTTCTCGCTGCTGACAATCATTAGTCTTCTGCTTATCTGTTACATTGTCGACGTCCCACCAGCTACCCTGCTGGCCGTTTCTGCTCGCATTAATCCTCTCCTTTGGTCACTGTCCCCATCCTCATTCCCTCCTCTCGGTCTTTTGAGCATTCTTCCTTCTCATGCTCAGGTTCTTCATCACTAGATTGTCCCTCACTGCTCGCACAGACACTACAGGCAGCATGCATCACCGTTTGATCTCCTCGTGACTGGTCACCTCTTTTTCCTTAGTGTACACACGAGTGACAGACCGCCACCAACCGTGTGTGTATAGCATTCCACTAAGCTATCCAAACCGTGAGATTAAGTCCTGTCTTGTAGGCCCTTCTTTCCCCGACGGGCCAATGGCCGAATATCCGGTGATCATCACAACCCCAGTGCCTGTCGATTGATTTTTGGCTATTTTGTTCCTTTCCAAGACCTCGAGTTTATCCCTGTGTATTCTCTCTCCATCGTTTTTACGTTTCATACGGTCGAATCTCAGTCGTGAGATCATGTGACGTGTGGACTATCTTTCAGTGTTCGTTGGTTGTAGTGCACATCATTTTTTCTACACCGCTCCATCTGTGTGGAAAACGCCATCCCGCAACTCATTGCCGAATTCGTCAAGCCACTGTTGACGTCTCTCCTTGTCCCGGCGATTTCGTGCATCTATTATCTTTCTCTCTTTATCTTTTGTGACCACATTGTATCCGTTGCCAACACGTTCACGTAGACTGCTTTACAATTCTCCTTGTTCCTCGTCTTTTTTCTCTAAACATAAGGAGCTGCTCACCATCACCGTTAGGGATTGTGTCAATTATCGCTAGAATTTCAATCATGCTTATTACTCTCCTGTTTTTATTAGGTGTATGAATCTTGTTCTGTTTCTTCCTTTTCGGAGATGGTTTCTGTAACGATACTTGTCCTATACATGGGAGATTGATCGTTTTGCTGTTGTTTACGTTGGACTGCTTAGGTTTAACTTTCCTTGCCATTAATCACTTTCTCCTTGCTCCTCCCCTTTCTGCCCTTATCGGCTTTTGCATTTCTGTCGCATCTGGTTGGGAATCTTAGTATCTGCCCATCCGTTTTCCCACGGTCTTGTAAAAAAAATTTCCTTCACCCATCCCCGGTTGTTTAGTCTACATTTCTTCTCTGGGCTCGTCGTTCGTTCAATCTCCGCATCGCCTCTCATCCAATCAGTTCTTAACTCACACTTCCCGATCTTGTGTGGCAACAGTGGTTGTTTAGATATTCTTTTGTACTCTACTATCCCTCATCATTACTGCCACATTTCCTGATGTCAAATTCTTCCGTTGCACCAGATATGTAATGAGGGGTTTCATTGCTCTTACAGACCTCCCTTTGGACTCCAACCGGCTTCCCATTGTACATTTACCCATTGTGCGTCAGCGGCTGAATGTAATTATTTGCGATTGAGTTTTATGAATTAAAACCGTCCAATTTGACTCCTGGACTGTTTCACCATCAGTTTTTGTTCCTCAGTGAGCCAACCAGGAAACGTTATTATACGCCCTGCTCCCTTGTGAGTAACGTAGGGTGATGGTTAAAGTACCGTGTTCCGTACAGGAGGCCTGGCAACTTACGCAGTATAAACCTTTCAATAGTGATCGGACCAAACTGATTGTTGCTAAAGTCTAATCAATGCAGCTTTCACAAGATTAGGTGTTTTTGGTATGTGCACTGTGCAGGCTCCAGTCTACGCTGTGCACTTTAATGTCCAGTTCCGTCTAATCAGCACTTGAAATCTAAGAAACTCTCATTGGCCAGGCTTTTACCCTAGGCATGGTCGACTACTAGCAGTATGCGCCAAGGTGCTGATGTTGTCCAAGTTAAACTATCAGTCAAACCAAGTTGAGGCATCAAGGTTTCAATAGTAATGAAATAAGCTATGTAACTAAAGATTCGAGTAACAAATCTTGGTCAGTAATGACAATTGTTCCTACGACAGTCGTGTAGACATTAATGTAATGGTTAATGGGAATCCAATGAACCTCCAGCGCTGAAGGCTCTACTGAACTTTGCGTAAGAGTACAGCACCCTTCCGCTGTCTCGTGATTTGCGGTGTCTTCAGGTGACTAACTAATCGGATTGTACAAATCAATTTAGGTCATCGGCCGTACTGACTGTTTGTGAATCTTACTTGAAGAGGACAGCTGAACTTGGGTGCTCTGTGTAAGCAGGTCAGGTCCGCGTTTAGGACGAGTGACTTCTGTGTATTAATGTTTTGCACGAGTAGCTAGGGGTCACGTCCGGCTTGCTACAGGGTTGAACGTCGTCAATCAACACGGTTACAAGTTTGTGCCATCCATCAAATAGCACAGTGACATAGTGTGAAAAGTTTTGATTGGTCTATTGAATCCCCGTATGCGTGCTTTGAGAACGCGGATCTCCGTTTATCTAATAAATTTTCCTGTATTAACCATCTTGAATAGGACCGTATGGCTGTACCCGTCAGTCCATTACGAAAAGGTTCTATTTGTGACAATCGGCTGCCTCACAACTTTGGGAGCCGGCGTTTGCACCGTCACTGTTCATGTTTTCTCACTGAGAAGCTGCATCAGACTCGTTTTCAGTATAGTCCAGTCAAACTTCAGGGCCATCAACTGCCCATAGAATGGAAAAAGGGCATTCACAGTTTGGTAGTCACCACTTGGATAAGAATAGAAGTTCAACATTGTATTCAGTAAAACGACGAATGCTATTTGCTGACATTTCAAGAGAGCCTTATTTAGTGCAAGAACGTTCGTTCATCTAATTTGGTTGCTTATTAGGAGTTCTAATTGGGGAGAGTTGGGTGATGTGGATCGTCATTAAGTAAAGGAGAAGACAGCACAGTCTGGACAATACCGCTTCGATCTTGATCTCCTTTGATCGATCATTCAAGTAGCCAGGTATACAAACTAGCCTGAGCAAGCATCGCTTTTTCTTAATTCACATTTCCATCCGTTCATTATGAATTCTGTAGGAATGAATTTTGCCGGCAAATTTTGTGGTCACAAATCCTGGTTGTTTTTTTTTCATATGCGTCATTCATTTGGCAATAGTCGAAGTGTCGATTTATTGATCTATGTACAAATTATTTTCACATCAAGCGTCGTTGCAGCCATCCACCTCGCATTGAGGATGCGACCGCACTCACTCCACTGCTGTTCAGTGTCAGCCAAAATTGGAACAGATGCAAACGCATATTATGATAATTACCAACCCATCTGGCTTTACTCATGTACCACATGCACCCTGAATGTTGATATGCAAACCAACGTAGAACTCGATTGTTTGTGGCAGGCTAGCTTCGAGCTCCTTCCGTATTCTATTCCACCGTTCTTAGTCACACCGTTGTATGTCATTGATGGTGAATAGCTTCAAGGCAGACGAGTAGTCACTGTAAGGGTATCGTGAGTAGTTTGTAAACACATTGATTGCATCCTGGTGGGATTATTCATCGGTCCACTGACCCACTCTCTCGTCTTTGATCTCAAGGCCTGCTTGGTGCCGCCTACTACATTCTATTGACTGGTAGGCTGAACCAGCGTTTATGAGCCGAGAAATTCAAACACCTATTCGTGCTTAACAGTGTGCATGTAACTACGCATACGAGTCCAGCGGAAAGGTGTGAATAAGGTCCGCGTGACACCAATTTCGTTTCACCTGCCTTGCAGCAGAACCGTTTCTACATGGATAAGAGGTTCATCGTTGATGTAGAATTGACCGTACACAACAACCAAATCCCCTCACACGTGAATAGGAGCAAACGAATTTCCGCGGCCATATTTTTCGTTTCAACTTACTCTAGTGGAGCAGCCACACCAACTCATGCCACGTTCCTACCCGTGGGCTTCGGGTAATAAGTACTACATTTCTCCAAGACGTCAGCTGCTCGGCGCGGTAGTTCAGAATCTGGACGTTGGCTTGTCACCAAGGCCCGCGTGTCTGAGCTCGAGACCGTACCGCAGCCACTTTGCAATGCCGTAGAAAGATGAGTGCAGAAACAGCATGAGTCACCACCATACCCCTGTCTAGTGACCGTGCCGCGTCTCACGTCCGTCAAGCCCAAATTGAAGGAAGATTAGCCAACAAACTCCGTGCTTCACAGTGTTCCAAAGCTATCTGTGCTCTTCGAGCAGCCGACGGTAGGCAAGAAATGAAGTCTATGTGGTTTCCAGTCGCGGTCGCGGTGCTAATTAAGTCACCACATCATATACGCAACCCCCACTGATTTCCTGTCCCTGAGTTGAACAATCCCGATATCAAGATCAGCGCCGCCCTCGAAGCACACAGACCCAGTGCATTGAAATCAGCTGACTCATGTGGAAAAATTAAATGGGGCGGTGGCGAATCAAATTGGAACAGTGTTGAATTAAGCTGAGAAGTGGTATAGTCCTTTCAAATATCCTTCGATTCCTCCAACGATGGGCATAATATTTTTCCTTTTTTCTTTGTAATTACCGCTTGATCAAACCCACTGGGCAGCGATTCCTTGCAAATTCGTCCGGCTTTCTTTGAGATTACTGTTCAGTATGTCTTTTCTGTGCACAGCGCACTAATCTGAATGGAAATGGTGAAGCAGTACTTGTGTCTGACACTTATTTTTGGGTTGACGAGTTGTCTAAAACAGCACCCATGTCTGTGCTCAGTGACTGAAGGCAAGCTGAGTCGAAAAGATTTCAGGATGGAGTTTAATTGTGGACTTTGTAATCCGTTCACCTCCCAAAACCCGAGCAGCGCACTGCTCCTGATGTACCAATGTTATATACAAGAGGCAGACGTTTGTTAACTGAGGGTATAAGCAGTGGCCTAGTGGTTGGCAAGATTTGCAGACTGTATTCTACTCAGTCAATGGTATTAACCCATCGCATCTACGTCTTGTTAGGCTGACTGGTAGTTGTACGTTTATGGTCTAAATTCGTGCCAACTTGCTGTTATGTGGCTATAGTCTTGTTTGCAGTAAAGCTCTTATCTGTTGCCACTCAGTGATCTCACACACAGTGTAATATCGGCACCGTCACCTGGTGGATTCGAATTTCCGACCGCATGTTTGAAATTCTCTCAGATTGAATGGGTGAGGAATGTAGCTCGTCTCGCTTAACACACGGAGAACGGTTTTGTTCAGCTTTTAATAGTTTTCACATTTGAGGGCATCATTGTTTCACCGGATACATCCATACTCACTGTTCTCACTTATTTTCGGAAGATACTTTCACCGAAATCCCCGGTTAAAAATCCAGTATCAGAAGCGCACTTGTTTAGCTGAAAAAGCCCGCCCGAGGGGGCAAGACACAGGGACCCTTTCGCATTAATTTGCACAACAGTGATCGGGGAGCAGATCACGAGGTGACCTCTAGCCACAACACTGGTTGGGTGGGGACTGCGCCTACCTGATGAGCCCCAAGAAGGGCGAAACCGGTCGTGGGTTGTCGAAAAGTTTTCAGCAAACCTTGTGAGTAGTTTCCCTTATGAAAACACCTGGTTGACTTTGACAGCACCCACATCACAACTGTTGGGAAGACTGAGCATTCCGTGCTGACCTTGTTCAATGGCAATCTTCCAGAAATTATAACTCTTGGTCAGTTGTAACAAAGCATGGGACTGGTGTTTCCCGTGATATGAGTCATTGAATTATGTTACTTTAGTTCCCACCGAAGCAGTTAGTGTCCCACGATTTGGAGACTGCCCGATTATTTAAAAGTGGCAAGTTTAACACCAGAATCTCAAAAGAATCAAAGACTCATGGTATTGTAATTAGTAGGTTGGAATAGACACTTCAAAATTTCGTCGCAGGTGTTGAGAAGTCTAGCTCTTTAGCAATTCTTCGCTCCCAACAACACACGGATTTTTCTGAGCGTGATCGTTTCCTCGAAATTTCTCTTGTTTTGATATGCCATTGTCCTGAGTACTCCCAATTTTTATTGCTGTCTCCATACACCGACGATACAATGCTTGGGTGTAGGTTTTGCACTCTCCAACCATTCATGAATCTTTTTACCGGGGTAATTTTTAACAGTGTTTCAGGGATGTCCACTGCCACTGATTCAGCAATGGAAATTTGACGTCCACCTCCGTAATCCACTATTTCCTAATGCCAGTAACGCTAACATTCCAAAAGTAATAATCATGCGGAATACACAGATAGTACCAGGTGGTTATTTGCTCTCACCAGAGGCATACTACTGACATTTCATGCTCACAAACTTAATATAACCTGCTTCTCCCATCTATGTCCTCGCCAACACACCCAACCTCGCAACTGTATTTGATTTTCGAACTTTTAGTTTCTCAGACTGCTCGAGGTTGGGTGCTTTTTCTTATTCCATTCCCCGAAACGTACGTTTGGATGGATGTACTTGCCGACTACTTGGTCAGACAAAGTCGTTGTATGAATGCTGTATGCCCGGAAAATCTAATTGCCTAGACTTGTTCTAAATTCAAGCTCATATTTC